AATTTCGGCCTTGCTGGGTGGGTCCAAAACCCCCCCAGCGGGGTCCGGGCACCTCGTTTCGGCAGGCAGTTACGGAGGGGGCGGGGTTGTCTTTTGGAGCAGGGAAAACCCTTCGGTGAAGGAGGTCGAAGAAGGGCGCGCGACCCCTTCTGGGACGCGACGCACCGGCGCGCGAGCGCTCCTGCTGCAGCTGGAACTCGTCCTCGCGCCGCTGGTTGTCTGCAAACGCCATCTGCTCCCGCTCCTTGTCGAGCTGCCGCTTCTCCGCCTCCCACGCCTCGCGCTCGCGCTCGCCCTTCTCGCGCGACTCCTTGACCTTCTGCAGCTCCGCCGCCACCTCGTGCCGTCGCCGCTTGGCCGTCGCGCGCGCCTCCTGCTCGGTCGTGCCGTCGCGCGTCTGCTTCTTGCCCCACACAAACTGCTCATTCAGGTTCGGATCGTTGAACGGATTGGTGCTGTTCGAGTAGCCCGCCACGGTCTCCGCCTTGCGCGCCTCCTTGGCCGCCTTCTTGGCCAGGCGCCGCGCGCGCCGCTCCTCCTCCGTCTCCTCCCGCTGCATGGCGCGAGGCGCTTTCGGTTGTTGTCGCCCGTGGTGGAGCGAGCAACGGAAAAAAATAAATGATTGGGTTTGTACTATTAACAACGAAGGCGCTGGGAGCCCACCGTGCACCGCGCTGCGAGCCTGTCGTGTCCCTTGTCAGGAGCAGGAGAGCCCCACCTGTTCCCCTGATCGTCCTTCCAAAATCCTGCTCGTGCAGGTGGGGACCCTGTCCTCCTCCCCCATCCCTCGTTTGGGTTGTCTGTTTTCTTTCTTTCTTTCTTTTAACGAAGGCGCTCTCAAAAAATAAGAATACGTAGTGATGAATGTGTGTGTTGTCGTGCTAGTGTCTGGTGTCTACTAGCCCCGAGTAGAGGGGGCGTTCCGCTGCTAGGGGAAACCCGGAGCGCAGAGCTAACCCTCGGGGACCCGTGTTTACTTTACAGCCCTTTCCCTGCGAACGCGCACCCCCCTAGGGGTCAGGGCTCTCTAGCCCGTAACCCGATCCCGATCATCCGGCCCGCTGGGTGCGCTTCTTAGCTCCCCGGCCGTGGATGTGAGGTTACAGACTGCACTCCAAGTGCTCCAAGTGCCCCGCGAGCCGGGAATCGGACCGCCGCAAGCGGCGTGGCGTGGGGCGGTTGAGCATCCCTCCGGGGGCCCCTCTGCGCCGGGGAGGCGTTGTTGGAGGCTAGGACGCAAGCACTTGGAGCACTTGGAGTGCAGTCGGTAGCCTCACATCCAGGGCCGGGGAGCTAAGGAGCGCACCCAGCGGGCCGGATGATCGGGATCGGGTTACGGGCTAGAGAGCCCTAGCCCCGGGGGTGCGCGTTCGCAGGGAAAGGGCCTTAAAGTAAACACGAGTCTCCGAGGGTTAGCTCCGCGCTCCGGGCAGGCTCCGGGTTTCCCCTAGCAGCAGACCGCCCCCTCTCTACTCGGAGCTATAATGAACACCAGACATGAACACGACACGCACTCTCACACGCCGTCACCGCTCAGGGCCCCTCCGCGCGGGGTCCTCATCCTTACTCCGGAGGAGGCTCCCCTCTCCTCTGAGTTCTTCCTCTTGTTCGCCTTCCGATGATTATCCGACGGGCGCGGGGCCCGACCTCCCCTCCTAGCCTTTTTCAGCCGCGGCTCCGCCACCCTCTCGTCTTCTCTGTCCGCTTCTGTCGCCATCACCGACGGTGATCCCATTCCCGACTCCTCGGGCGAGGGCGGCGGCATAGGATCGCCACGCCGCCCCAAGCCGGTCCGTCGCCTTTTTAAAATCGGGGCGCACTCCGCTGCGCTCCGACCCGATTTTTGAGGGCCATGAAATTTAAGGTGTTGCTGCGCAAAAGTAAAGGGGCGGGGCGCGGGCGCGCGCAGCGCGCCGAGAGCTCCTTTTGGAGATCAGACCTTTCGATGGTTCATGCTTTCTATGTCTATCTATCATGCTTCATGACACGACACGCGGTGGTGTGGGAGCTGGTGGAGCTGTCAGCTGATCGATCCAAGCGGGTGGGGAGAGGGGGCATGGCTGGGCATGCAGGTCCGCCAGTCGGCCCGGCCTCTCACGTGGTGCTGCCGCTGCATTCGCTGAAGAAGAGAGGTGCGACTTGATTGGAGGCACTGGAGGCGAGGGTGGGGAAGGGAAGGTTGGGCCGGGCCGTGAGGGGCTGATGGCGCTGGACAAGACAGCGCGGGGTGTGAGATGCCGTCGTCGTCGTATACTGCTGGCCCTCGCCCTCAGTTGCCAGGGCTGTGGGCTGCAGAATTGGCGTCTGTGGCGTCTACGCAGGCTCTGCAGCGTGATGGCTGGCGGGACTGCGAGGCCGGCGGCAGCGGAAGGAGAGGCTGGGCACGAGCCAGGAACAGACTGGCCAGGTCCGCAGGTGGCTGCGGGCGAGGCGCGCGCGCGCATGGCAGGCCGAGAGGCTCGGCATATGGTGTACCCCCGAGATGTCGCGATCGCGGTCCCGCTTTTCCCGCGATCATTTCGTCCGTCCAATCGAAGGAAGCGCTGGATCGCCCATGTTATTCGACATGTTATGGAGTTAGCCAAACTTGCCACCGTTCTTCGTCTCACGTTCCGTGGTTTTTGCACGGTATTCGGATTTTCGCTATTTGGTCGTGTGGGTGTGTATTCCGGGATTAGTCAATGGTACCGCGTCGTCGCCGCTCGGGCGAAAGCGGCTGCCTTGGCCACGGAGAGGACCTGTCGAACCAGTTGCTGCCCAAGAAGATCGAGGCGTGGGCGCCGGGGCAGTGAGAGGGTTTGCCCGCGTGCGAGCTCAGTTCTATGGTGTGTTGTCTGTTGAGGAGCAGCGAAAAAAGGCAATTTCTGATGCGCGCCCCCGCGGGCCCGCGCACAGCGCGCGCACACACTACGCTCTCTCCCCTCTCTGACCACATGCCTCTGACCTCTCTGCTCTGTGTACTGTGACGTACAGCAGCAAAACTGAACTCGTGAAAAAAGAAAGCGATGACCCCTCCACGAGTCACGACAGTGGCTTGCCCCACTGGGCTTGCGCTACTGCTTGCCCTACTACTTGCCCTACTCGCCCTACTAATACGCGTGTGTGGCTCCGCACACTCCGCCGCCATGCCGGAGCAGCCAGAGAAGAGGGGGACGAAGAGGATGACCGACGCAGACGAGCCCAACGCGACTGTCGGTGCAACCGCAGAGCCGCTCAAGCGATCCAAGCGGAAGAAGAGCGACGCGTCGGCGGCGGCGGCTGCGACGGCCGCGGCCGCTGTGGCCGACGTCACCACAGCGGCCGCGGCCGCTGTGGCCGACACGAGCGAGGGCGCTGCAGCGGCCACGCACCCGGCCGAGGGCGCGAGGAGGCAGGCGGTCGGTGGCAACGGCAAGATGCGCTGCTACAACTGTGGCAAGATGGGGCACGCCAGCAAACAGTGCGACAAGCCAGCCGGACGAACCGCCTGCCACCTCTGCGGAGAGGAGGGGCACAAGGCGCGGGCCTGCCCTACTGCGGCACTGAGCGAGCCGGCCGCTGCACGCTGCTACAACTGTGGCGCGCACGGCCACCTGTCGGCGTCGTGCCCCAAGCCAAAGGCGGGAGCGGGCAATTGCCACAAGTGCGGCAAGCCAGGCCACACGGCGCGCTACTGCCGCGCCAAGCCACAGCCAGGCGAGGGCGCAGCGGTCGACGCGGCCGCCGCCGAGGCGCTGGTCGCGAAGCGCGCGGCGCTGAGGGCGGCCAAGGACTGGGCGGCGGCGGACGCCATCAAGTTGGAGCTCAAGGGGATGGGAGTGAGGCTGCGCGATGACGAGGGGACGTGGACGGCGTCGCTATGACAGGAGAGGAAATGGGGTGATGGAACATGTCTGAACGTGAAGCTGAAGGAATTATGCATACGAAAAACCGCCGAGAACGCCAGATAGCTTTTAGCTGTGAGCAGTACGCGCGCGGGCCCCGGGGGCGACCTCACGGCTCCTCGCTCCGCGTGCGCGCCACGAGCTGCGCAGAGGCCCTCGTCCCCTCGACCCCTCGTGCAGAGCACCAGGCCAGAGAGCGCAGATGAGCGCCTCTCGTCGTCTCGAGCGCCTCGTAGAGCCCTCTGCCTCTCTGCGTGAGCGCGGGTGCCTCCTCGGGTGGTCGCTTCGCCAGGGCGCGGCTCAGAGATAGCACCGGATCTTCGAGTCGGCGTGGAGCCCTCTCCTCTCGGCGGGATCGACGCGGTCCCACCCCGTCCTCTTCGCCACCGCGGCGGGCATGCTCTCGCAATCGCCTCCGAGGGCGGCGGGCAGGTGGCAGGCCGGCGCGAGGGCGAGGAGGGCGGCCCTCGACGTGGCAGGCTTCTCGACGCGCATCCGGCCGCGGATGTCCTCGGAGAGCATACCCCTGACGGCGCCGAACGCGAAGGAGAAGATGGAGGGCGCGTTGACGCAGCTCACGGCGCCGATGAGGCTCGGGTAGCGGCTGTCGAGGCCGGCCACCTTGACAAAGTAGGTCGTGAGGAAGCGCATGTTGATCATGCTGAGCGAGAGCCCCTCGTAGCAGAAGACAAACGACATGCGCGTGAGCGAGCCGCTCGCCGCGGAGGTCGCGTCAGCAGCCGCCATGTTGTGCTCCATCAGCGCGACCATCGAGCCGAGAAAGCCGGCGCTGCTGACCGTCTCCATCACGCGGGTGGGGGAGAAGCCGTCGTGCAGGATGATGTTGAGCGGCCCGCCGTCTCTCGCACGTCCGTGCGCCGGGAAGGACTGACACACCGACAGGATCGCCCGCACGTCTGGGTGCAGGTCGAAGAGCGCCGCGCCGGCGAGCGCCTGTCGCCGCATCTCGACCGCCCCGATGGAGAGTCGCCAGCGCGTGGTGTCGTGGAGCCAGCGGGCGGCCGCCGCCTCGTCTCCCTTCTCGGCGAGGAGGAAGCGGAGCAGGTAGATGTCCGTGTGCGCGTCCACCTCGCCGCCCGCCCCCTCAAGCACGTCCCTCAGCCGCACGAGAGCCTCGCGGTTGGCGTGCAGCGCGGCGGCGAGCTCGCTGGTTGGGGGCGTCGCACAGGACTTAGCGGAGGCGTCGCACAGCTGGCCCTGGTCGGACGCCGGCGGAGAGGCGGGCGAGGCGGGCAGGCACTTTTGGAAGCACGAGCCGAAGCTCCTTTGCCACGACGAGCCACGAGGAGGAGGCTCCTTGGCAGCTCGCCTGGCCACCGCAGGTGTCCGTGGAGCCTTCGCTACGTCATCCTCGACGAGACGCATGTAGTTGTAGGGCACCTTGCCAACGTCGCCCTGAGCGTTGCGCACGAGCCACCAGAGCTTGCTGTCGTCCAAGATTTCAAGCACCTCGTTCTTTCTGAGCGAGAGGTGGTGCCGATCGCGAGCTTGGAGGTCGCCGGCCGCCTCAGCCTTTGGGATCATCCGCTGATGCGGCCGATTGCGCTGCTCGCTTGCCACAGCATCCGTTCCGCCGTCCGTATCGGTGGCCGAGCTGCTCTTCAGGTAGGCGGTGGCACGGTGTGCAAAGGCTCGCCACACAACGAGCATCACCACGGCCAAGTGCAGGGCCGACACGGGTGACAGCGAGGCGTTGAGGTCGCTGCTGATCATCGTCCCTGATCTCTGAGGAGGCTTTGGGAGTCGCCGGCTGTGTCCAAGGAACATGACAGATGTACTCGGTTTTTGTTTTTCTTTTTTCAGCCTTTTTGAATCGTAATTCCCGGTTTGCGATATCTGAACGTGGCATTCGGGTGATCAGATCACTACCGCCGAAACGCAAGACTGCGACGGATCGGGCTCATGCTAGCATCCACCTCGCGGGCCGATGTTCTGGCCCACCCAGCGAGGCTGCTGCGCCTGCGGAGGGCGCGGCGGAGCATTCGCGGGCCGATTTTCTGGTTTATTTTTTCAGTTTTTTTCCTCCCCCTCCCCCGCCAGGAGCGTTGGAAAGAAAGAAAGAAAACAGACAGCCCAAGGGAGGGATGGGAGGACCCACAGCACGCCGCAACCACACAGGGATTTTAAGGAGAGGAGTGTGTACTAGTAGTATAATCGTACATGTTCAGGACTATAAAAATCGGGCGGTTGCGAGCTAGTACACTCGGCCGCCTGGTTTTGCTATATGCCGGGCAAAAGGGATGGTAGTTGTGGCACCATTTCAGAGGTTGGTTGGTAGTTGTAGCTGACCACAGGTTGGTGCTGCCACGCATCGATGCAGCCGGAGCAGCCGTTAATCGCGCCGACGTTGATGGGGAGAGGCGGAAACACGGCGCTGGGAGTGGAGCAGCGGTCGCCGAGCACGGAGCAGCGGCCGCCGCCTGCTGCCTCGCCGAGAGCAGCGGTGCAGGTGGTGATGCTGCAGCCCCCACTGGCGGCGGCGAGCGTGCCTTTGTACGCCGGACCCATTCAGTGGATGGCTTGAGAGAGAGGTTTTTAGCAATGTTAATACCCACAATACCAAACAACTCTAACACTCACACATCCATATTTTGTACTTGTGACGCGAAACCTCGCTGCAACCTTCATGCCACCTCGCGGTCGTCCCACTCTCGTCGTTCTCTCTCTTGTCGCTTCTTCCTCTGTCGCGTCGCTCTCCTCTGCGTGCCTCGTCCTGCAACGGCGCCGCCTGCCGCTCCCTTGCTCTCGCTGCTTCTCTCGCCTCTCGGCGTAACTCCGCTCTCCTCGCGGCGTACTTTGGCCCCTCGAGTTTATCAAGCTCTCCTCGCGCAAGGACGACTCTTCTGACACCCACTCCGATCATTTGCCGCCAAGTCATATCGTTGCTCAGGTCCACTCTCTCTTCGGACACTTGTACTTCCACAGATGATGTTGGCGCTGGGGTCCGCTTCGGGTGCAGGGGTCCCCTTCGGGTGCGTCGTGACAGCTGACAACTGAATTTCCACTGGTTCGTCCTCCTCGGAGTCATCTTCCCCGTCCTCCTTCCGCTCGGCTCTTCGCTCGGTACGTTCGGTGTGGCTCACCCTCCATGCCGTGAACAGGCGCTTTATCCACCCTATATTCTTCTCTCGTTCCTCTGCCCGTGCCTTGGTCTTGTCGTTGTTTCGCACCCATGTCTGTACGGCAATCGAGGCTGCCTTCCCCACTACCTGTAGTTCACTCGTCACCTCTCCTGCGAGCTCTTGGAGCACTTGGAGTGCAGTCATCAACCTCACTTCCAGGGCCGGGGAGCTAAGAAGCGCACCCAGCGGGCCAGATGATCGGTATCGGGTTGCGGGCAAGAGAGCCCTAGCCCTGGGGGGTGCGCGGTTGCAGGGCCATAACACGGGTCTCCGAGGGATAGAGTACCGCGCTCCGGGTTTCCCCTAGCAGCAGAACGCACCCTCTACTCGGGAGCTAGTAATACGAGAATACTCTCCGAGGGTTGGCTCCGTGTACCAGGTTTCCCCTTAACACTGCAGAACGCCCCCTCTAGCTCTACTCGGAGCTAGTGGACACGGACACGACCCTAGTGATACGGGAATACGCACCGCCCCGCCGCAATACCGTACTCGAAGATAATACGAGAATACGCAGCTTCGAGACACCTCTAAAGAAACAGCGAGGTAAAGTTCGGCGGCTATAGATAAACCGAAAGTTGTCGTAAAACGCGGGCGAAAGCAAAGCAGAGCGCGGGCGCTTTTGCCGCAGCGATGCCCGCAGCCTGTCGAGCAGCTTCCATGCGCCGCGGGGTTGACCACTTGACCGACAGCCGCGCCTCTCGAGCCTCCCGTGCCACGCGCGGCGACGCGCACCCCGCGCGCCAGTCAGCGCACTGGTAGTACTGCACCAGCCAGCACGGCGTGGAGCAATGTATTGAGGGCATTGTACTGGGCGCCAGCCAGCATGCCTCAGCACAGAGCGAGAGAGCATGCTGCGCACGCTGACGCAGCATCAGTTCGCCTCCAATCAGGCTCTCTCACCACCTCACAGCAAGCGTCGGCGGCAGAGCGTCCGGGCACGTCGGACAGTTCGAGCGTGCTTCAGGACCAGCTCCGCCGCCGTAAACTTGATGCGTGCCTTTTGGTGCCAATAGTTGGCCAAAGCGGCTGGTTGATTTCTTCAATGTTGTCGCGTTGCGGTGGCAGTGTCGAATGCAGTTTTACGTGTTGCCCACGTGCATGCTCGGGTAGTATAGTTGCAATGCTGATGACTGAATGCCCCTTTTCTTACTGGGGGTCTCCAGTTTCGGCGATTGCCCTTGCCCGAGCGTGGCGAATATCTGCGTCGGCTGCACGTCGCTCCCGTCGTGCGTCTCGGTCCCGGCGCTGTTGCGAAGGCGCTGCCTCAGGCTGCACTGACGGAGGAGGCGGTGCAGTAGCAGCAGGCGCGGAGATTGGGGCTGCGGCGCTTGCCATCGGTGGCGGCGAGGGATCGCTGGCGGGTGCGAGAAGGTCATGCTTGTCGCAGTACTCCGCCACGTGATCGAAGCCCGCCTCGTTGAACGAGCTCACCGGCTCCCAGGTGTCACACGAAGGGGGAAAGCCCGACCATCGGACGCGGTAGCGGCGCTCGCGCCCGTCACCACGGTGCCCACAAATCTTCTCGACTTCGTAGTAGAGGCCAGAGTCTTCGACGGCACGGAGGGCATACGAGGGCATGCGTTTGAGACGGCTCACGTGCACCGTGTCCTTCGCGTGGGTGATGGGGCGGCCGTGCACCGTTTCAAGCTGGTAGCGATCGCGTTCGAGCACTGACTTGACTGCGTACACAGTGTTGTAATACGGGAAGTCCATTTTGGAATGCTTCTGATCCGCCGGCCTTTTCAGAAGCACATGATCCCCCGGTTTGAAGCGGACCGTTGCGAGCGGCGGATCCTTGCGAGCCTTGTCTCGGAGGGACTTCTCCGTGAGGTACAATTCAGCTTGGCGCCACGCGTTGTGGGGTGGAGATGTGATCACCAAGATGATCGCAGCAGAACTCCGTAGTGCCAACTGCGCCATGCCGTGGGTAGCGAAAGTCGTTGCCCACAATGCGAAGCTGCGCTTCGCCGGATGCAACGAGGAACAGGTGTTGGAACCGCTTCCAACTGTTCGTATGTGAGTCCAGCAGCAGGAACTCGACGGCTGCCTTCCCAACCAGGTGGCGAGGGTCAGCGCCCACACCGTGAAGCGAGCCGCAGGGTTCGGCGACATAATTGGCCGCGCCCGCACGGACCAACATGTCGACCGTGCCTTTGTCCGGGACATACACCTCCGAGTTGTTGGCGGCCGACGCCCCACCGGCCTCGGGCGGCGAGGGAAGTTCCACCGCCGCCGGGTGCTGAGCCGAGCGTAGCGCACCGGCCAGCTCTTGAAACCCATCGGCAAGACTGGCCTGAAGTACGGTGCCAAACGCCTGGAACCCTTGAGCGAGGTTGGCGTTCACCTGCTCAAACCCCTGCTGCACTTCTGCATTGTGCTCCTCCGCCTGCCGACCAAGCGCCACCGTCGCTCGGCCCTGCTCCACAATCGCCTGACGCTGCTGCGCGACTTCATCGGCCAGCGAGCTGATTTGCGACTGGTGATGCTTGAGTGCTGCAGCATTCGCCCGAGCAAGCTTGGAAGGGGCCGCGCCCTCAAGCATCTGCAGCAGCCGTGCCTGCTCCGCAATGTACTCGAGGCGGGAGGTATGATACCGCTGCTCCAGTTGGTCGAGGGTGGCTTGCCCCTCGTCCACCTCGGCTTCGAAGGCACCCAGCTCCCCGTTCAGCACGTTGAAGCAGAGCGCCGCCTCGGTGAGCTCGCCATTGGCGGAGAAGTCACCATTCGATAGCTTCTGCCCGTAGGTCGCCGCTGCCTGCCCGACACAGGCTTGGAAGGCGCAACGCTCCTTACGGTAGGACGCGAGGAGCTCGGCGGTGGCCATGTACCGCTCCCCTGCGCCGTGCAGATCAGAGGCGAGCCTGGCGATGACTCCAACATCGTTGGGCATGAGCGCGGTTGCGCCTTCCCCAGCGCACTGCACGAACTGTTGCACCTGCAGCTGCAGCGCCTCCACGCCGTCGGTCGAGAATCCCGTGACGTCCTCGGCAGGGACGTAAGATCGCATGCCCGTTCGGGCGTCAAAAGATGGTTGCGTGGTGCTCAAACCAGGAGGCGAGTCCACTGCGGATGGCTTGATCGCTGCCACGTTCAAGTCAAACCCTTTCGGGTCCAGTAAGGCTTCCGCCGAAGGAGGGCTCGCCGGCAGCCCGGCAGAAGGCATTCCAGCTGGCGTAGCCCTGACCTCGGCGGAGCCAGGCGACGATGGCTTGTCCAGCGCATCGGTGTCGTCCTTGGGCCCTGTACGCTCCAACGTGGTGTGGAGGTGATCAGTGTGGTCTGACCGGGTGGTATCGCCCCGGTCTAGGCCCTCTGGAGTCTCGTGAGGCGTCCCTCGTCTCTCGCTCGAGAGATGGTCATCTGGACCCGAATCATCGGTGCCCAGCACGTGTATGTTGAGTCGTACGCGGTCCTGCGGCTTGGTCGCGGGAGATAGATCGCCCGCGGTGTCACGGGCCTCCTCAGCCGAGGAAGACATGTTTGTAGAGAGTGTTCAAAGTACGAAGGTGTGGTGTCACACCGGTGGGGGGAAGACGCCAGCTGCGCCGTGTTGTGGTGTCACAACAGTAGAGAGGTCGACTGTCTCGCGGGGCCACTCCCCACGAAAGCAGTCGGGAGACTATTACGTGCCAATATTTGGGCGCCTATCCGGCGCCCAAAGTGCTAATATTGGTGATCTAAGTGGCAAGACGTGCCACCACACGGGGTATGGGAATATAGAGATATGTGAATACGATGGACTAGTTGTCACTCTGGGGCGGGGAAGGGAGAATAATAGGTGAAGCCTCTCGATACAGGTCAGGCTGTTGGTGCTCGTGAGGGTATTCGTGCCTCACCTCCTGCGACACGGCCATGTCTCCCGCCGCCGCGAGCGAGCGGCGCAAAGAGGCAACGTCGCCGGCGCGTAACGGCCATTTTCTCCCCTCTCTTTCTTTCGGGTATGGAGTCCGTGAGTGCGGCGCAGCGTGCAGGCAATCACGGGCGCTATTTTGTCGTACTCCTCTTCGGTGAGCGCTCCAAATCTAGACCCCATTGGCATTGCCTTTAAGGAGGCTGCCCTCGCGCGTCTCAGGAAGCATGCGGCTGTGTCTTTTGAGTCAGGCGCCGCCCGTTCGACTCTTGCTGTCGCCCTCGCCGTTGCTTGTCAAGCTTCCGCATGAAGTAACGCGCCTCTTCAGAAGAAAGAAACGGAAAGCCCAAGAGAGGGATGGGAGGACGGCACGCCGCCACCACACAGGGATTTTAAGGAGAGGGGTGTGGTGCGCTTCAGACAACAGCCAACGCGCAGGCTTCCGATTTCTTCACCTCAAGAATTCTTCACCTCTGAGAGAGGGATTTTAAGAATTCTTCACGCGCCAGCAAAGGGCCGACACTTGCAAAAACACATATGGCCTCCTCCCCGGCGCGACCACCGCCGCCGGATGCTGCCTCGCTCGACCGCTCGCGCTCACCGCTCGTCGGCGCGGTCCGCTTCAGCGAGAATTTCTGGTTTGAAGCGCCCTCCGGCGGGTGGCGCAACGCCTACTCCTGGCTGCCGCCAGAGCCTGTGCCCTTGCGAGCCGTCATCATACTGTTTCACGGGTACGGCGAGCATGCGTTGCGCTACCAGCCGCTCGGCGAGGCGTGGGCGCAGCAGGGTCTGGCCGTGTACGCCATGGACCACGCGCGGCACGGCCACAACCTCGACAACACCGGCTTCACCGGCATGCGGCGGCTTCCCTTTGCAAACCTCGTCGGCGACGCGGTGGGCTTCATCGAGTATGTGCACGGGCGGCACGCCGCCGCGCCCTTCTTCCTGATGGGACACTCGATGGGCGGCCTCGTCGCGCTTCTCGCCGCGCTCCGCGTCCAGGAGCGCCACCGCTCGCTGGGCGGCTTCCGAGGCATGGTCCTCTCCGCGCCAGCGCTGCGAGTCGGAGGGCAGGGCCTCGTGCCACGCCACTCTGTCTACTCGCCGGCGTGGCAGGCGCTCACGCGGCTGCTCGACACGCTCTCGGCCGGCTTCTGGCCAAACACCGGCGCGCCGACGGCGCAGTGCACGACCACAAAGGGCTTCGGCGAGGCGAACGACGCGGACGAGCGGCACTTTGGCGGCATGATCTGCGCGGGCTGGGGCGTCCAGTTTGTCGACGCGTCCGAGTATGCCCTCTCTCGCGCCGCCGAGGTCCGCTGCCCGTTCTACATCTGCCACGGCGGCGCAGATGTCGTCGTCTTGCCGGCGGGCACGGCGGCGCTGCACGCGCGCGCGTCCACGCCGGCAGCGGACAAGGAGAAGGTCGTGTACCCCTCCCTTTTGCACGAGGCGCTCAACGAGCCGCAGCGGCACGAGGTGATGGAGGACATGCTGCGGTGGGTCCGGTCGAGACTCTGACCAGCGCGCGCTCCCCAGCCCAATATGTGTGTGTGCACGGGGCGCCCTGGCGAGGGCCGCAGAGACGCTCTCTTTCTTGTCTGTTGTCTCGCCGATATCGTGGAGCCTCGAGGCGATCGCGGGTCGGTGCGTCTGCGTCGTGCGTGTTTGCGTGTGAGAGAGAGCGTGTGTAAAGCAATGGTTGGGTAGTAGGGCTAGAGGGTCGCTCTACACTTAGCCTCTGCAGCGAGCGAGCGCTCAACTTAGCCCCCGCACGGAGCCGGGCTCGGACTTAGACGCTGTATGGTCGGGGGCCATGAACTTAGACGGCACAAGGCCAAATCCGGGTAAAACCCGGGTATACCTGCAAAAGTCCAGGTTTACCCGAAAAATACCTGGACGCGTCCCGACCAACGTATGCCGCGCACGACGCCATATCGCCTTGTCCCAGGGCCAGTGCGCTACTTGCGGCGCGCAACTCCTGCTCAAGTACGCGCACCGTACCATGTGCTGCCGCTATGCGTGTCTTAAGGCGGCTGCGGCGAAGCGGCGGGCGCGGCATGCCGATGGCAGTGCGGACGATGCGGTTGCGATGTGTTCTGCTTCAAGATCGTGGCGGTGCTTGGCATGCACTTCTGCTAGATCTACCTCACGCGCGGATCGTTCAAAGAGGACCAGCATACACAGGCTTCCTTGACATGCGTTTGTTTGAGCTTGAGGCTATTTGTGAGAACTGTTTGGCTTGAAGATTGCGCTCAAGAAGAGCAACGAGATCGGAAGAGGAGGATGCTGAGGCGGCGATTGCTGAGCATGAGAAGGATCGATCCGGATTAGAAGGCGCCCGCCGCAGGCGAAGAAAATTTGGGGGCTAGCGCCGTATCGTTGATCACGGTGGGAGCCTCTTGGCCCCAGGCTGTGCCACGGCCGACTTAGCCCGTGTAAGAGGCTCGTCTCGCTGATCTTAGACCGCGTAAGCACCCCAGCGTGACTAGTCACACTTAGACCCGCTCAGCCTCGAGGCTCAGAACTTAGACTACTACCCAACCAGTGTCTGGGTCGTCAAAACACTGCGTGGCCGCGTGCGTGCCAGCCGCAGCCCTGCCCAGCTCCGTGGCCGGACCAGTGGTCCGGGAAGGCCAGAGCTATTCAAAAGACCAGGAAGGCTCCCGTCCTCTGCGCGGTCTCTATCGTCCCGTCGCGTTGGCGCGCACAGACCTTGGCGGTCAGCACCCCCGTCCGACCGGCGTCGCCAAACGGTCCACCCGTGGGGCAGGGTGGGACGCCGGACGCGGCGAGCGCTTCTCTCTCCCGTTCCCTTGCCTCCTCGACTGCCTTCATCCGCCGGAGCGCCACAGCATCCCTCTCTGCCATCTGCCGCGCCTCAACCTCTGCCCGTTTCCTCAGGGCGACCACCCCACCCTCGGCGCGAGGTGCCTCGACCTCATCCAAGAGAGAGCTCAGGTCCGAAGCCGCTGGAGCGCCTGCGTTGGCAGGTCGGAGCGCGCCGAGCACAGCAGCGCCACAGACCGATCGTCGGCAGAGCTTGGCGGTGGGAGAGGCTAGAGCGGTGGTGGAGTAGAGGAGCGAGACCGCGAGAACCGAGGCCATATTCCAATTGGTAATTCGCGGTTCGGCTTTCTTCCAGCCAGAAGAATTCTTCCAGCCAGGCGTTCTTCTTCCTGTGAGAGACAGTTCTTTTGTTTAAATTCTTCTTCCTAGATCTACCTAACCTGCAGAGAGAGTCGAGGTTCTCGAGGATTTTAGCACGTACCAAACAAACCGGTCACATGAGGCCTGCAGCCCTGGTCCACGGGCGCCGAAATTAATGGCAGCCGCCTGGCGAGCGCAGGCGCTGCAGCCAGGCTGCACCGCTGTGGCGGCCTCCCCGCCAACCAAGGGACCAACCATCCATGCATGCGAGGGTGACCGTGGGCGGTCGGTCAGACTTTGCTGTTGGCGACGCAAGCTTCAAGAAGGCTGGCGGCGCCCCCCTTGGGTTCCGCGTTGCAGCGACGCCGCCCTCGGACGCGAGCTGCCTGCTGCACCAAATCCTCCTGGAGCACAGAGATTCAGCTTAGAGGCGGAGAGCGGCAGTTGGCATATAAATTAGGAGACCGAGTGGGGCGCGCGCACCAGACGCAGGACATATACGACAGCTTCTGCAGGATGAGAAGGGTCAGCAGCCGAGGGTAGTCGAGGTTGAACCATATGCGTGTTCGTTCGTATCGACAAAGAGGAAGGTGCGCTGCACACCCTGCATCTCAGTCAGCTCCGCGGCCGCACGTTCACCACCTCATACGCGAGCCCGGGACGCCGCGAAGCTACGACAAACTCCGATAAATAAACAAACAAACCGGGATTACGTTGAGCTGGTTCGAGACCTCGAGATAAATGCGAGAGGTTCGACCTCACAAGAATTTCGGGCAAGCAACATACCAAACACAATAACTTAACAACGAACCACGCATAAGCTTCTCGCGAAGACAAGCGTCACCCGACCAGCAATACATTACGGCGCCACGTGTCACTTTGGCGGCCTGATCGAGGGATTGTCTCTGCTGATCCCACACGCCCGACCTCCGACTAACCCTCCAACTGCGGGGAACGCCCATGCCCGCGACCTCATCGTTTTGCTCATCATGTTCCTCGGCGGGCCGGGCATTTTCCTTCGCGGCAACGCGATGGCGGCAAGGCCTCTCTGCGCGCCCGCCCTCGCCACGCCGAAGACCACGGCCCCCAAGCGCTTCGCCGTGGGCACAAAGGTGCGCTGCTTGGTCGGGTCCCCCCCCGAGTGGCAAGCGGGCCACGTCGTCGCGCACGACTACCGCGAGGAGTCGTTCCCGCCGAACGTATTTGCCGCGTACCAAGTCAAGATTCTGGACGGGACTCTCATCTTTGCGCCCGTCGACGTCGACGAGTGCATCCGCGCGGCATGAGGCGTCGCCACTCTATGTGAATGCTGCAGCGCGCGTCTCTTCGTGAAGGCAAGCGCGCGTCTCTTTGATCTTTGTACTAGCGCGCGTAGTGCGCGCTTCGGCGTGCCAGCATGGAGGCAACACGCCCTGAGAAACACACTAACGTACGTGTCCTGTTCCGCACCGCACTGTTGAATGTTGTCTGGCTCGCTCTCAGTAACTGTACTGTATATGAGAGGGGCGCACATGGAGAGGGTGTGGACGGGCGCAAACAGTACTCTACGTGCCCTTGCTGCTCTCTCTTGGGCTGTGTCGCGCATCTCGTGAGGCGTATACTGTATCGGGAAAATGGCGGTTGCACGACCCTCGACCGCCCGACAGCCTTGCGGTTTGCCGCATCTTTCCAGGTGGAGGAGCTGGGCCTGCCCGTCGCGTCGAAGCGAGCTCTCAGTATCAGGTCCTCGCGGGACTCTGACGGCTAGCAAACGGCCGCCGTCACTGTGAGTGCCCCTGTGGAATAGTCCGCAAGGGGTTGCCAAGGCTTGCACTTGAACGGGCTCAGTCTGGTGCGAGCTGTCGCACTATGAGGCCCGAGAAGCGGAGCTGCGCTGCGGTTTCCCCGGCGGCGCGGGTGCGAGGCCCGGGCAGACACAACCACACCCACATGGGCAGCCGCCGGATGGGGGCTCCACGAGACCGCTGTCACACGATGGTGGTGGGTGCGTTGGTAGGCAGGCAGGTCATCGACTTCATTCTGACACACTTGCTCTCGCCCTCCTCCGCGTAGCAGAGCTTGTACTTGTGCTTTGCGGCATTCTTCACCTCGTAGTAGTCGTGGCACGCCTCTGAGTCCGCTTTCTTGCACTTGTTGATTTCGACCCGCCCGGCCAGATCGCTGCAGGTGAGCGGCGGCGGCGCGGACGGCGGCGGCGGTGTGGGCGGCGGCGCGAACGGTGGCACTGATGGCAGCGCGCAGCCAGACACGAGCTGGCCGCTGCACTTGCTGCTGCCCGGTTCTGGTCCGTGGCACAGCCGCGCGATGCCCGATGCGGCGTCCTTCCATTTGAAGAAAGAGGAGCAGTCACCCGAATCGGCTTTCCTGCAACTCTTGTCCGGAATCTCAGTCCGCCCGGCCAGGTCGTTACAGGTGAGCGGGGGCGGGGAGGGAGGCGGCGGTGAGGGCGGTGGCAGGCAGCCCTCGACCTCGGTGTCACTGCACTTGGTTTCGCCGTCCTCTGGCCCAAAGCACAGCCTTGCCAAACCGGACGATTCGTCCTTCCAAGCAAACGAAGCCGCACAATCGTCTGTGTCGGCCTTTTTGCACTTCGATACTTCGGTCCGCCCTGCCAAGTCGGCGCACGTGAGCGGTGGCGGCGACGGCGGTGGCGGGGAGGGCGGCGGTGGCGAGGGCGGCGGAGGCGAGGGCGGCGGAGGCGAGGGCGGTGGTGGGGAGGGCGGTGGTGGGGAGGGCGGCGGCGGCGAGGGCGGCGGAGGCGAGGGCGGTGGTGGGGAGGGCGGTGGTGGGGAGGGCGGCAGCAGCGAGGGCGGCGGAGGCGAGGGCGGCGGAGGCGAGGGAGGTGGCGGCGAGGGCGGCGGTGGCGACGGAGGTGGAGAGCTCGGTGGCGGTGGTGAAGGCGGCGGCAGGCTAGGTGGCGGAGGCGAGGGCGATGGCGGTGATGGCGATGGAGGCGAGAGCGGAGGCGGTGAGGATGGCGGAGGCGAGGGCGGTGGCGGGCTGGGCGGTGGCGACGAGGGAGCAGGTGGACCAGGTGGAGGAGGCGAGGGAGGGGGCGGCGACGGTGGCGGCGGCGATTGGGAGGGTGGAAAGGGCGGAGGCGGCGAGGGCGGAGGTGAAGGTGGCGGTGGAGCGGGTGGCGTTGGCAAGACGACGGGGAGGCGGAGCAGACGCGCAGGGCGAGACGAGGGAGGGAGCAGGATGTTGCTGAGATCAGCAAGAGGATGTACGACGAGATTAGGAGCAGCAGGGACCCGAGGGACCATGTGGAAGACGGCTAGTGCTAGTCCCCCATCGGGAGGACGACCCCGGCTAGTCGCCGACCACACCCACAAAGAACCCTGCACAAAGACCGCAGGGCGGGGACCTGTTCTGTTCCTTTTTACCCATCTCCTAGTAGAGGTGTGCGTTTTTATTTATTTATTATTTCTGTGTAGGAGCCGGAACCCTGAGCGACGTCTTGCGAGACATGGCCACATCCTACACCCCGCACGCTCGGGACCAAACACTCCTCGAAGTGTACGACTACATCAATCAGGTGCCAGGCAAGGATGTGCGTGGCCGCCTCATCGACGCCTTCAACGCGTGGCTCCGCATCCCGGCCGATACGATCGGCGTGATCAAGGCGATCATCACGGAGCTGCACAACGCGTCGCTACTCGTCGACGACATCGAGGACAACTCCACGCTCCGCCGGGGCATCCCCGTGGCTCATTCCATCTACGGCGTGCCGACCACAATCAACTCGGCCAACTACGTCTACTTTCTGGCGCTCGAGCGGTGCCACCAGCTGGGGAACCCGGCGGCGATGAACATCTTCGTGCACGAGCTGCTCAACCTGCACCGCGGGCAGGGGCAGGACATCCTGTGGCGCGACAACCTCCGCTGCCCCACCGAGGAAGAGTACCGCCGCATGGTGCTTGCCAGTCCAGACGGCCTGAGAAGGGAGAACAGTGAAGATACGTGATCAGACGCCACCACCCAATAGGTGCTCGACAAGACGGGCGGCCTCTTCCGGCTCGCAGTCGGGCTGATGCAGGCCTCCTGCGCCGCCGCCTCCCTCCAGCGCCGCCGCCCTCCCCGCCCGGCATGGCACCGCCGCCGCCGCCGCCCTCGCCGCCGCGGCCGTCGCCGCCGCCGCCGTCGCCGCCACCGCCCTCGCCGTCGCCCTGAGCCTGCGATGCCGCCGCCTCGTGTGCCACCGCAGGCCTTCTCGGCGAGCGAGGTCGACTTCACGCCGCTCGTCAACCAGCTCGCTCTCTACTTTCAGGCACATTTAATTTAATGTAGTTTAATTTAATTCGTCAACCAGCTCGCTCTCTACTTTCAGGCAGCTCACCCACGCACACGCACCGGGCCTCGCACTTTGAATGCCGTGCGGCTCCTGTCTTCCAGACGCGGAGTCGCGAGGGCTAGCCTGGCCCTTGCCCCGCCACCTCGTGCGTGTGGAGGTGTTTACCCCCCCCCTCTCCTCTCCTCTCAGATCCGAGACGACCTGATAAACCTGTCGAGCGACGACTACATGGCCGCCCAACGCGGAGAAGGGGCGCCCGCCACTGCCCACAGCTGTCTGCGAACGCCCCTCCTCTTGCTCTTTAGGCGAGCAAGTCGTACGCCGAGGACCTCACCGAGGGCAAGTTCTCCTTCCCGATCATCCACTGCATCACCTCGCGGCCCACACGCCGTAGATGCCAACAAAAGGAAGTCGATGCCGGACACACCCCTCACTCCATCGATGTCTGCTGCCTCTGCCTCCAGCGCGCTGCCCAACACGCTGCTCGGGCAATGGTGTCGCTCGGCAGTGTCGGCGGCAGGGAGTGCGCGTCCCGCTCACAGCGCCGCCCCTCTGCCCTCCGGCGCAGCCCGTCCGACTCGCAGCTGCTGCACATCCTCAAGAAGAGGACGGAGAGCGAGCCGATCAAGCGGTACGCCGTCGAGCACATGCAGGCGTGCGGGCAGCCTCGACTATACTCGAGAGTGACCCGAGATGACCCGAGATTACGCGAGATGTCACATGCAGGCGTGCGGCAGCTTCGACTATACTCGCGCGGAGCTGGGCAGGCTCAAGCACGAGGTGAGCCGAGAGGAGCCGAGAGGAGCCGAGAGGAGCCGAGAGGAGCCGAGAGGAGCCGAGAGGAGCCGAGGTGAGCCGAGGTGAGCCGAGAGGAGCCGCAGTTGACCCGAGAGGAGCCGAGAGGAGCCGAGAGGAGCCGAGAGGAGCCGAGAGGAGCCGAGAGGAGCCGAGAGGAGCCGAGAGGAGCCGAGAGGAGCCGAGAGGAGCCGCAGTTGTCCCGAGAGGAGTGCTCCAGGGGGACGGTGCTGCGGAGAGGGCGGAGCAGCTGGCTCACGGTGCGAACGGCGTCTCTTCACCCAATCACACAACCCAGCTCACTCCGGATGGTCGAGAGCGGACAGATAGCGATCGACAGCGATCGACAGCGTCTCTTCACACGCCTTCCCCGCGGGCAAGGTGCTGCTCGAGGTGGAGCGGCTCGGCGGGCACGAGGAGCTGGTGTCGCTCCTCGAGTACCTCGACCGGCAGGCGCGGGACTCACTTCCTAGACACTTCCTAGACACTCCTGAGACACTTCCTCGAGTACCTCGACCGGCAGGCGCGGGACTCACCCACGTCACTGGGCCTTGCCCATTGACACTGACTGCCGTGCCGGCTCCTGCCCGTGTCTGGGTGTGGAGATGCGAGTCGGCTGCCCGGCCGTTGCCCAACCACCCCCTGTGTGCGGAGAAGTTTACCGGACCTTCCCTTAGGTGCGGACCTCGGAGCCGGCGGGCGGCGGCGCGGGCGGCGGCGCCCAACCGGCGTCCCCGCGGCGTGCCGCAGAGGCGGGAGGCGGCGGCGCGGCGGCGAGCGCGCCGAACGTCGAGCACCGCGTGGATAGTTTATGAGCCATTCGAGCGCGAGCGGGATTTCTAAAATCGCTTTTCTTGCTTGCCTTTCTCCGCCTTCTGGCTGTGGCTCAACAAAGAAAAACTGCGCCGCAAACCCATCACCCTTGGGTTTCTTGCCGTCGTCCCCTCCCAGCTGTGCAGGGTCCCGCGCCCCGCACAAGGCGGGTCCCCGTGAAAGAGGTGCACGCAAACCCCACTCTCCCCACTCGACCCACTCTCTCGCTTGCTGGTGCACGTCGCGCTGCCAACTCGTTGCAACTATATGCGCCGTGTCCTCGGCCTCGGCGCTGCTGCCACCGCTGCGGCCGTAGCGCACTTTCTCAACGAGCGCATCGTTGAGGCCCGGGCGACAAGAATTGAGCGGCTTCGAGCGTGCGGCCACCTCGATCAGATTTGCCGAACGCCATCAGGAGACCTCGCCACGCAATCCTCCTTTGACAGGCCGATCGTGGTGACAGGCCTGCTTGACGACTGGCCAGCTCGTGAGTGGACCTTCGACTCGCTGCGCAAACGTATTGGCCAAGCGCTGGTCGACACAGGCTCATCGACCGGCGGAGTTCCTTTCTACCTCGTCGCCGCCAACGCGCAGCGTGGGCGATCTGGCACTGCGGATCTGGCACTGTACGTCTTCGACTCGGACTTTAGCGCCGATTCTGGCAAGTCCTGCCTTCTCGAAGACGTGGATCGTCTGCCGACGCTCACACGAGGCAGCGTCTGCGAGGCGGGCGCGGCTGCCGAGCACGACGACCGACCTGTATGGCGCTGGCTGCTTGCGGGCCCAGAGGGCTCTGGAACGCTCATCCACCAGGATCCATGGGGCTACACTTCGTGGAACGCACTCTTCGTGGGCGACAAACGGTGGATCCTCTTCCCGCCCTCGGTGCCACGCGAGACGCTCCACCCTCCGCGCACCGATCTGATCGGGCGCGCCGCTGCATGCCTCGGGCTGCACTTGCCGCGCGGCGCGTGCGAATTCATGGACGAAGTGCTGCCAGCTCTCCGCGGCCAGGGCCTTGGCGAGGTCGACTTGGTGCAGCGGCCGGGCGAGGTGATCGCGTTCCCTGCTGGCTGGTGGCACGCCGTCGTGAACCTCGACGCGACGCTGGCATGGACGGAGAGCTTCATGCGAACGCGCGACCTCGCCTCGATCACGCATGCCTTGCGCAGAGGCGGGTTGGGCGACTTTGCGAATGTGGTGCAGGACGAGGCCACGGCCACCTCTGTGGTGCAGGACTTGCCGCTCGAAAGAAAATGAATTCGGGGCGGCACAGGGGCTCGCACATGCACATGCACATGCTCATGCGCATGTCCCTAAATCCCATCTCGTCTCAGAGTTTGACCGTTTTATTTATTTATTTGGGCTCGCTCTCGAAACTGTGATCGTGAATGTCCTTGAACGATTATATAGTGTCCGGGCACAGACCAGTACGATCCCGCTCATTCATGATCATGTGTTATGACTTATGTGTATATTGTGTATTGCATGTCTTGGTACTTAAATAAATAAAAGGGACACCTCTACTAGGAGATGGGTAAAAAGGAACAGGTCCCCGCCCTGCGGTCTTTGTGCAGGGTTCCGTTTGCGGTGGGTGTGGTCGGCGACACTAGCCGGGGTCGTCCTCCCGATGGGGGACTAGCACTAGCCGTCTTCCACATGGTCCCTCGGGTCCCTGCTGCTCCTAATCTCGTCGTACATCCTCCTGCTGATCTCCGCAACATGTCTTGGTACTTGGTTTCTGTTTCTCTCTTGTTTTCCGAACACTCTCCACAAAGGTGTGAATGCGGGGAGGGGGGGCTTGCGCGCGTGCTGAGGAGAGGCTGCTGCACCGCCGCAGACTGCAGATACAGTACCTCACAAACAAAACTACACAAACCACGCGGCGCGCGCACCGACGGAGGTGTCCGCCTGTCGTGTGTCGAGTTGGGCACAGTATACACTGACGTAGCTTGGCGCAAGCGCCCGCTAATAGGGCACAGCCATCGCCTGCGGCACCGGCGCGCTGATCTCGAGGTGGGCGAGGATGGCGTCCACCTTTGAGTTGAGGGCCGCCATGTCGGACTGGACCTTCATGATCTCCGTCAGCTGCTGCTCCGCGCGCTGGATCTGGCCAGTGTCGCCGCGCGTCTTCATCCGCTTCTTGAGCTCCTCGACGATCTCGGCGACGAGCTCCTCCTCGCAGTTGCAGCCCGGCTGCATAGCGCCCAGGCCTACGGGTGCGCGACGGCGAGGTCGGTGCCGACGTGGGGACGGCGGGAGAGGCGGCGACGTCCGCACCGGAGCTCACTCCGACGCAGCAGCCACAGGCCGAGCTCTTGTCTACCGAGCCGAGCTCTCCGTAGGGCCGCCGCTGCGTGTTGGTGTCGCACATGGTTGTGGTGATCAGTACGGCCTCCTCTGGCTCAAGGATAAGCTGCTGCTTGTTCATTAGCGCGCACGGCCAGCCGCACATGGCGGCGATGGTGTTGGCGAGCGTGTTGGTGGTGTCATACTCCTTGCGTTCGAAGGGCTGCTGGATGGGAGCGGGCATCCTGAACTTCGCCGAGCGCTAAAGGCCGGCGCTTTGTTTGGAGCGAGGAAGCAAGGCAGCCGGAACTGCAGCACTGGGATTTTTTTCATTTCTAGCGCTTGCGTTTTTGCGGGGTCTTCTAATGTCGGCCAACCCTCCTCGACGCCTTACGAACCCCACCTTGCGAACCAGGCCCCGGTACCACACAGGCAAAAAAAATGATGAGGCGCAGTGCTCTTGCAGAGGCGGTTAGTGGTGCACTAACCCCGAGAAACCCTTCGGGTCACTCCTCATCGCAAACCCTGTCAGCAGTCCTCCTCCGCGAATGTAATACAAGTCCTCCTCCCTGGCAGCAGCGGAGCGTGAGAGGCCGTGCGAGCTAGCGCGCTAGCGCTTCGGGCGATTTGATTAGGGGGCCTACCTAGGCCTTTAAAGCCTGAAAAAAAGGCCGTCGCGGCCTCGAGGACGCTTCACGATGGGCGGCTCCGCGGCCTCGAAGAAGGGTACCGTGGCCAAGAAGCGCCTCGACAAGTTCTACTACCTCGCCAAGGAGCGCGGCTACCGCTCGCGCGCCGCCTTCAAGCTGCTACAGCTCGACAAGAAGTATGAGTTTCTCGGGACCGCGACCGGCGTCGTGGATCTGTGCGCGGCGCCCGGCTCGTGGATGCAAGTGGCGCGGCAGTTCATGCCGAAGGATGCGCTGTGCATCGGCATCGACCGCGCGCCCATCAAGCCCATCCCAAAGTGCGTGGTGCTCCAGGAGGACATCACGACGCAAAAGTGCCGCGCCGCGGTGAAGCGGGAGCTTAAGGCGCACGGCGGGTCGGGCGCGGCGATCAACGTGGTGCTGCACGACGGCGCGCCGAACGTGGGCACCTCGTGGCTTCAAGATGCCTTTGGCCAGAACGAGCTCACTCTGCTCGCCCTCAAACTGGCAGTCGACGTGCTCGCGCCTGGTCCGAGAGCCTTCCGAGACACCTCCGAGAGCCTTCCGAGACACCTCCGCGGGCCTTAGCTCCGAGAGCCTTCCGAGTCGGCGTCGCCTTCCGAGGCGGCTCAGCAAACCTCCGCGAGCCGCGCGAGACCTCTCCGCGAGACTGCCGAGACATAAACACGCACGTGCACACACAATGCCCCATCGTCTGCGCACGCTCCCGCCCTCTGCATTGTGCGCCCAGCACATCCCGGCTCGCTCCGCAGGCGGCACCTTTGTGACCAAGATGTTCCGGTCGGCCGACTACCAGTCGCTGATGTGGGTCTTCGGCCAGCTCTTCGGCAAGGTCGAGGCGACAAAGCCGCAGGCATCGCGAAACGAGTCGGCCGAGGTGGGCGGCTCTACCCGAGAGTACCCGAGAGTACCCGAGAGTTACCCGAGATTGCGAAACGAGTCGGCCGAGGTGGGCGGCTCTACCCGGCGCTGCCCCTGCCGCTGCCCCGCACACGCCCTCTCGCTGCCGCTTCCAAGCCCTC